TATATATACATATGTGGATATATATATATATATATATAAATATATATATATATATATATATATATATATATACAGTTTGTTTCATTATATAGCTTTTCAGTTTGTTTCATTATATATATAATTTAGATCCCTAATCTAAAGCAGTATCTTTCCAAAATTTATGAGGTACTGATGTAATCTGACATGCGTACCTACCTAGAAGATAATACAATACAGAGTGCCTACTGTATGTAAATTCTCAGTCATCCAGGTCATGGCAACCACAAACAGGCTTAAACTTGAAGGCAAGTGGACATTTACTCAGTTTTTTGAAGACATTTCGACACCTACAGTATGCTGGAGTCTTCGTCAATTCTATTGGCTCATACCAGAGCAAACCCCTGTTGGAGCACTTTGTTTTTTGGGATTGTTGGAGCTTTTTGTTGTCCATTGGCAATGTGATTGTTCTTTTGAATCATAATAGACCGTCATTAGACAGGTTAGGTGTACCCTACTGATAATGTAATGTTGCAATCTCCATATAGTAGATTTTAAGAAAGAGTTCCCAAAGTGGCCATGACTGAATTATGAATGCTTGGAAGCTGAAACTGCAATCTTCCCCTTCTGTTCAGTGATGGATATCTTGACTACAAAATTTAGTCAGAGTTTTGCCTGATTCTGAATTTCAGGCTCCAATGGTATTCTCTCTCAATTCCTTCATATGATTGCCTTGAGTGCATATTGATGAGTGATGCAAGCCAAACAGATTGGTTTAGATACCAAAACCACATGAAGTAACTTATTAGCAAATTGTGCGAGTTTTAGAAACTACCTAAACGTTTCTATTTAAAATTCCTATATTCAATGTGAAAAGTGAAATTGATTCTAAAAAGGCAAGTATAGAAATATGGACCTCCTGCTTCAGAATTAACTTTTTCTCTATATTTTTGGTACAAGAATTAAAATACTTGTCATGTTTTCATGTTGCATCTAATATTTATTTCTACATTGATCAGAGCTACATGTGTATAACAAATTAATCTAAATAAGTACATTTGAACTGAAAACAACCAACGAGATTCACATAACAAATAAGATTCTAAACACATGCACCTCCCCTGATGTCCCCTCATCCTCTGCTCTATCAAAAAATGAGATTGATTCCAGTACAGTTTCCCACTTGATCGGGAAGATGTGCTTCTTCTGACACACTACCCACTAAGCACTCACATGCAGACCCACTCCAACGAAATTCGACACACATACACACACAGAATCTAATAAACCAGTTCTATTGAGTACCAAGGAGGGTCAGTGGTAATAACGGCTTGCTCCTCTTGACTCTTTCCCTCTCTCAGTTCTTTCTTTTCCCTCCTCTCTAAATTCAATTCTCTTTTCAATGTGAAGACCTTTCCACCCTCTCCATCTCCCTTGCCTTGCTCACGCTCTCCCTTTGCTGGCTTTCTCTATCCTTCTTCCCTGCTATTCCCCTTTTCAGCATGTAGGGCTTTATTTTGGCAAAGGCTTTTTATTTGGTTTTAGTGGCTCTTGTCCCTCTGCTGTGCACTCAGGTTAATATGTTTTCCCACATCTGAGGATCCTCCACTTATTATTCATATCAACAGTCTAAAAGGAAAAAAATGTTAGAATGGTTCGGCAGTAAACACTTTTGCAACCTTTTTCTTTTACATCATAGGCTTGAATGTAATTTGACTTTTCTTTCTTGAGTAATTTGTGCCAGGAAATGTGTTTCACAAAAAATGAAGACGCATAGAACTTTTTTGCATCTCAGACCTATTTAACACTAGGAATTCAGAAAACATGAGGGTCATTTGATTTAGCAGGGATGGTAAATCTTAATATTTATGGCAATTGGCTTGGTATTCATCCATCTATTGTCTTCTACTCATCCAATAACGGTCCTAAGGGTAAAATAGCTTCCTTTCAGAAATTAAGCTCATGCCCAGTCCAGCTTCTCTGGGCCAAGGCAACCTCTGCCTGAGTCACCTGGGTCTCATGGTTTGGTTTGCCTGCAGCATTGTCTTTTTTTTTTTTTTTCTTTTATGCTGATGTTTTATGCGTTTCTCCTTTTTTAAGATGAACGAGAGAGCAATTAATGCTTCATATAGATTGTATCAATCAACAGTAACACAATGAAACATTGCTGCATGTCAAGCTATGCTAAATCAAATTAGCAATAAGTACTAATTACACCTAGTGTTTCAAATTGGAACAACATGCAGAACAGATAGCAACTCACCCTTCTCCTCTGCTGAGACTGTCATGCAGGTTAATATTGTTACCGCCTGTTTATTTCAAAAACAAGAAAATAAATTTTAGAAATATACCTCCTTCCTTCGCTTCTGCTTGTCTGTTGTGTGGGTTAGATTTAAACTGTCAAAAATTTTCCTGTCCTCCATATTGGGTTATTTTGTTTTTCAGCTGTACTTTTGTATTATTTTGCTGTAGTAAGCAATGCTTTGTCTCTTAAATCCTTGTTGTAAAACAGGTCTGTTAAAAGTTGAGAATGCTCTCATGAGCTCCATGTAGCACTTGTTTTTGTGGTCCCTAACTGCTATCTGGTGGCTTGTGATGGTCCACATTTCAGACAGGTCAGCTAGTTGAAGTAGAGCTACAGTATTTACCTGACGACTACATCGTTACACTCTCACCATATTTTGCATTTTCTTTGAGCCGCTTCAGAATTTTTTTCTGGTGTGGAGTATTCATCATCAGGCTAATCTCTCTTGATTGTATGGTTGAAACTGAGTTTGGTGTTCATCCTCTCAGTGTCACTGAAGTGGTCAGGTGCTATGGTGTAGGGGGATGAAGTGAGAACAGCCAGTTATCTATTGAAATGCTGAATCACTCCTGAACATTGAGTCTGCAGTGTATCGCTCTTTGTCTTTTTTGTATTATATGGAAGAAGATGCTGCAGCTTTAGTTCAGTTAAATAGCCATAGACGTGATCATGTCCTCTCCTTGAGTTTTTGCTTAAAGCTATCCATGATAAAATATATAACTCAAAATGGGTGGTTTTATTAGCTGTTGCAACATCCCTAAAGAAAGAGGATATTATTACAGATAAGAAGGTAAGCCTCCAGACTGCCTCAAAGTGAATCCTGCAACTTCAGGGTGTATCTCTATTTAAAAATATCTGACATCAATATACTGTAAGTCATTAGCAGAGATCTGCATAGGTCGACTACCGGCTAATTAAGAAATTTAGCTATTTATTTAGTACAGGTCTGTTGGGGCAGGGACACGTCTAAATCTTTGAGTTTGAGATGACTTCTCTAATATTTCTTTGTTTATTGCATGTGATACTCATTGTCATTCTCTCTTTGTTTCTGCTGCCACCTAGATGTTCCAATGGGTACTACGGCCAACCTAACGTACCAGGAGAATCCTGCCAACCCTGCAATTGCAATGGCAATCTGGACCTTTCTGTACCAGACAGCTGCGATCCGATCACAGGTCAATGTTTGAGGTGTCGCCAGGGTTACGATGGCTTGACTTGTGACACCTGCAGTGATGGTTACTATGGAGACGCCATCACTTTAAAGAACTGTCAACGTAAGTTGTGGACTATGATACTAATTATACTATCAAGTAATAAAATTAAACAAATAATAAAAAAAAATTAAGCATTTAAAAAAACAGGGCCCTTTCAGATAAAATTTTCAAAGTTCTTTTTAAAGGCTTCCCAACTTAGCCTAAAAAAACATCTAATACTACATCTACTCCTAGATTAAGAGTGTGTTAAAGCTGGGATTGGTTCACACAAGGAACGATTAAAAAACAAAAAACAAATATGCTCTTTAAAGTCTTGAGGAGAGAAATTAACTGATTATAGAATTATACTGGATTAAGAAATGTGTGTCATGATAATGAGACGTGGCAAAATTCCATTTTCAATCAGTTTCACAATGAACCATTAAACAATTACACCAACAGAATACTTTGAATTGAAAAATGACTAAGGAGATTTGTAGCTTCCTGTTTTAACGAACATACATTTTTTGTCTTTGAATTTAACTGAATGAAATTGACAGCATCGCTGACATATTCAACTACAGCACATTTGCAATAGGTGGCAGAATGCATCTGTTATTTGCAACCAAGAGGGAGGCCTTGTTAGTCCTTGAATCCAGTATGTGTGGTAAATCCAGAGAATAGGGCACACGTTGGACGGCAGACAGGTAGACAAGCGTTGGACCCGGAGGAGTAAGGGAGCGGACTGTCACTTGAATTTATGATGGGTACTTAAACGGAACATGTGGAGGTTTTCCCCTGCTCAGTAAAACTCAGTTTTTCCTTCCAGGGGGGAAAAGGTTCAGGAATCCTGTAACACAGGAAAGCTTCCTGCCGGGGAGCAAAAAAAAAAAACTCGTTAGACTCAGAGAAACAAAGCTAGCTTGGACTCAGCTAAACTCAGCTTGGCTAGAGTACCCAAAATTGGCAAACACTCTGGCGTCGAGTGAGTGACAGCCCACTGCTCAAATACTCCTCCAGATAATGATCCAATGAGCCGCAGGTGTGCACGGAGGGACAGCGAAGACAGGGCACCTCCTGGTGGTGAAAAAAGGAAAAAACACAAACAGGCCACACAAACTGCATTCCTAACATCTCAGTCACACTCTGAAATGATATAGATATGTATTAATGTTTTTTGTTTTCTCCGACACACGAAAACTATGTTAAAACCATCCATCCATTTTCCATCATGCTTATCCCTGCTGGGGTGACCAAATTTCCAGATTTTAAACCTCAGCCAAATAGGATTTATGAGTACTGACTGAGCAGTTTGTTTGAGGACTTTAAATCCAATCCAAAGAACCATTGTAATGCACTTTTTATCAGAAAGAACTAATAATATAATAGTAAATAATAAGAAAGATACTTCAAGACAGAAGATAAAGTTGGCTTCTCACATTTTCTTTCTTTTTTTTTGCTGTTTTTTTAAAGGGTGACAGCAGGGTAGCTTTTGTTTCCCAGCAGGGGTGTTGCACTAAAGAGCACTTTGTCCTTATGAAACTTAGCTGAAATTATTTAAATGATACCTTTAATAGTCTCGCTAAAACATTGAGTAGATGGCACACCATCTGGAGTGTCGATGTGAGTGTGTCAAGTAGCAGCTGTGCCAGTAGGAGGTGTGATGTCTGAGCGGCCCACTGACTGCCAGCTGTGCTTAAAAGTGAGAATAAAAAACTATACCTGCGAAAAAGAAATAAATAACAGAGGAGTACAGTATGAGCAGCGAGGCAGAGAAAGAATGTACATATGGCACTTCTTCATGAAACTCTTCATTAAAGCTTGTTCTGTCGACAAAAGCAGAGGCACAGATAAGGAGACAGAAACCTCCCACAGAGCATCAGACAGGCAAAAAAAGTGTGTCAGGAGTGCACAAAAGCAGCGAGACAGGCTGACAAAGGGTATTAATGTGCATTTGATAGTTCATTGTTCTGTAGTTGTTTCCCCTCTCCACCCATCTAAATGGGTATTGATTAATCAGGCTGATCTATTGCTCTGCTGCAGTACTGATCAGCGGCTTGCGTCTTTGAGACGAAGAGGTTGTTATTGATCCTGTACAAATGACAGAAGACCACCAAGAATTATTAAAAGACAACAACTCTCAATCTGCCTGTCTCTACCCGTCAGTCCCACTCTTAATGAATTTTATTGATTAGAAGAGAAGAGATCAGGCTGAGTCCATTTGTGCGCTATTAGAATGAAAAAAAACCTTTTCATTCTTTGTACATTAGTGTTCTCCCCTTTAGGCATTTTTTCTCTCTTTCTGCAATGCAGGCCGATAATGTCTCAGTATATTTCTTTTTCAAAAAGTTAAATAATGCTTGATATTCTGGAGCTAATCTAAACACCAAGCAGTATATCTGGTGGGTAAATTATAAGAATATAACAGCCTAAAGTGTTTAACATAAAAAAAAAAATCATTTGAAAATTGTTGTGCATTGCTCTATGATATGGTTCCCCATCCTTTAGAAGCTGATTTAACTGTAGGAACTTAATAATTCACAGATAATTTGTTTGGCTCAAAGTTTTTTTTTAAATGCTTTCAATGTTAAAATAGTTTCATTAAGACAACATCCGTCTTGTTTCACCAGAGAAGGTTTTGCATTCCTACTGAAAATGATTATACTGAACCAAGACAATCTATTAAACAGTCAAAATATAGGATGTTGATTTATATTATAATTTATAGTGAAAATTTAATGATTTTAGATACAGGAAATATTTCCATAATGTTTGCATCCATGTTAAGCATTAGCACTGTTTATCTCTTAACACACAACAGCAATCTATCATGCCTTCACAAACCAATAAATGGCCTGTACTTATATAGCACTTTTCCAAGGACTTGAGGGTTTGACCAAAGTGCATTACGCTACATTCAGTCATTCACCCATTCATGCAAACAATGATGGTGGCAAGCTACATTATAGCCACAGCTGCCCTGGAGCTCACTGACAAGAAGCAAGGCTGCTGTAAACTAGAGCCACCATTCCCTCCTAACACCATCAGTAATGTACGTAAAGGCACATCATGTCATAAGAAAAGGCATATGTTCTTTTAAAGTGCATGAAGTGGCTTAAACTGCTAATCAAATTGAAGATATGATACCAGAACAATGTGCTCTTTGTGAATAAGTTCATGAAATAAAAAGATAAATTTATAGCTTATTGGCCATTTTAAATACTTGGTAATGCCGAAGTGGCCTGATATAGAAATTAGTTTGACTCCACTGCTGCAGTTAGGTTACACATACCCTTTATACTAATATGGTCCCTCATTATTTACAGGATTAAAACTTTAGGATCATATTACCATCTTAAAACTTAAGAGAATAATTAAGACTGTTCTTCAACTTGATGGCTTAAGAAAAGATTTTTAATAAGTTGATTCATGTTAAGGGATTCTATGGTATCATCATAGAAAATTACGTTTTAGTAGTTTTCAGTATATGTAAGGTGTCATATTCACAAATAGTATGGGATGTTACATAATCTTGCAATTTTATACATGCAAGAATGATTTAGCCTCTAAAAAATTACAGAAACACAAGATGTAAAACCCAATTTACTTATACAATAATATCTGCCTGTACATCATTGAATACCAGTTGTCATTCACTATCTTATATGAAATAAAAAATCTAATTAGTAAAGTTTATTTCAACAACTGAGAAAGTTATAAAGTGTGCAAAAATGTTTGAAGGCAAATAATTCAAAGTTGTTAAATAGTAAAGCAAAATAAATATTACAAATTATTCAAAAACAATATAATAATATTTGAAATATGATATTAAAAACTACCTTGAGAAATGGGAATATGTGCAGCTGCTTTGTGATTAAAAAATAAAACCAAAAGAAAATGAATTTTCAATGCAGCATATTCAATATCAACATAATTCTAGGATACACATGCTTTTTGTAAACATGTAAAAATGTCAACCCATCAGCTACACAGCTCACAAACACCATGTTTGCCACATATCTTCATCCCTATTACTAATCGGCGACGAATCGCATCTAGTCTTGCAACTGTGACATCCTGATATAACAATCTCAAACTACTGTACAACTAGAGATTCCTTAATCAGATATGGCACGTACGTTTTTTTACATTTGATAAAAAATAACAGTTTGTTCTACAGTCTGAGTAATTTATCTAAAAATGATCTTTATGGACTCATAAGGCATTCAAATTCAATTTAGACACATTTGGTTCATCCATCCACCAATCGTGCTTATCCCTGCCGGGGTCACTGGTGCCTTTCTCTAGTGTCCAATGGGGTGAGAGGCGGGGTACACCCTGGACACGTCGCCAGTCTATCTCAGGGCAACACAGAAACAAACAACCATTCACGCACACACTCACACCTAAGGAGAATTTAGAGAAGGCAATATACCTAACAGTCATGTTTTTGTAGCCTGGGTGCCATTCCGAACTTAGTCCCGCCCACAAGGTTTGAGGTCGGGAAGTTCGGTCTGG